GGTATTGCTCTAACTAGTTGATTTTGTGAAAAATTCAATACTTTAAGAAAGTTGATATTTGCTAGTGCTAGAGGAATATCACCTATGAGCCTATTTGATGATAAATCTAACCATTCTAAATTTGTCAAATTTGTAAGTGATTGAGGAATAGGACCAGTGATTTTATTGTGGGAGGAGTTTAGCCCTTTAGTGACTATAAATCCCCAACAACTTATGGAATCTCTCCATCAAACATATGTTGTTTGAAAAATCAATGATTGTGAATGTAGTTAATATCTTTACCAACTCTATTTTGTTATTTTTCAATGTGACTATCATCGATTCTTTATAGGACCTCTAGTTTCCCATGTAATGGACACCAAATGCAACATAATCTACATTAATCATTCCTTCAAATTCCTTGATGTAAGTAGTTGGCAAAGATCCATGAAAATGGTTGTTGGAAACATACAAAATTCTTAACTTAAAAAAAGGATTCTTGGTGTTGAAACTATAAATGGAACCATAGAACTTATTCTCTTAAAATGGGTACCTGTAGATCCAATAAGCCTTTAAGCCAAATAGGAAATTTATCCTTGGCCTTGTTTGCTCCCACATCTAAATTTGTTATTGCTTGCAATAGGTCAAAGACAAGGCAACCATCCCTCAAATCAATTATTGCTCAAATACAAAGATTACAAGGAATTGCTCTTAGAAAAAAATATTTGGTGTAGTTCTAACCAAATTATTCATCTGCAAATCTAAAGTCTCAAGAAATGGCAAAGCAACAAGGCACTTTGGGATGTGGCCAAAAAAGTTATTGTGAGAAAAGTTGAGTATCACAAGAAAGCTTGCATTACAAAATGAGGAAGAAATGTGTTCACTTCGTTTATTGTTGGACACTAAAAAGAAATGAATATCGAAGGACGGAATTGGGAGATCTCCTTGCTACATGTTAAAGCTAAGGTCAAGAAAATAGAAGATTCTCATTGAAAATTGTTCTACTAATGTTAAATTATTATTAGAAAGATCCAAACTATCCAAGGAACCATTCCCCACATTATTAAACCATTTGGGAATCTCTCTATGAATTTCGTTATTAGAAAAATTTAAAATGTTCAAATTTTGAAGGTTTCCTAACATTTTAGGGAAGTCATGGATGTTACAAAAAGATAACTCCAACATTCTAAAATTGGAAATGATATAGTAAACATTATTATTAGAGCTAAGTGTTAAAAACTTATTATTTGAAAGATCAAGGTCATCTAGATTTTGGATCTTTGAAAATTGATGGAAACCAATAGGGTCCTTCAAATTATTTGATGATAGACTTAGAGTAGAAAGATTCACAAAACCAAAAATTGACTTAGGAAGATCTTGCAACTTATTATGATTAAGATATAGCTGCTGCAAATTCAAAAGGTTTAAGAATTTTGGAAAGCTAGTGATATGACAAGATGATTACTCTAACATATATTCTACGATTGGGAATGGTGTAGTTAAGATTATTATTAAAGTTAAGTGAAAGAAACTTGTTGATTGAAAGATCAAGTTCTTCTAGATTTTTAAACTTTAAAAATTAGTGAAAGTCAACAAAGCTACTTGAGTTATTTGATGATAGACTCAAATAGAAAAGATTTATGAGACTGAAAATTGACTTTGGAAAATCACCTTATAGGTTATTGTGAGATAAAGATAGAAATTCCAAATTTGAAAGATCTTTAAACACATTTGTCATCTCACCACTAAAATATTTGCTTAAAAGATATAAGACAGTGAGGTGTTCAAGGTTTGAAAGAAATGAGAGCTCACCACCAAAATTATTTGATGCAAGGTTAAAATGCGTTAATTGAGTAAGGTTATCAAAACTTGAAGGAATGAGCCCATCAAATTGATAGCCCTGAAGACTCAAAATTGAGAGACTTCAAATTGTCTATGGAATTAGATATTTGTCCTAAGAAAGCGATGCCACTGAGGTCCAAAAGCAGTAGAGGAGAGCTTTGGTTGAAATTTGGAAGTTGAACTTCAGATTTTCATTGCTTGACAAATATAACCTTTGAAGATTTTGTAAATAGAAAATGTTATTTACAAAATTTCCTTGTAGCCGAGTGTCTTGAAGATTAAGATGGACCAAAGAGGATGACAAATTCATCAACAAAGACAAAGAACATGGAACAATGGAAGATATATTTACATAATCAAAAATACTTTCCTTTAAATCGGTTGTGTTTAGAATGAGCTTTTCCCATATGAATAGTTCAAGTTTCAAATCAAGTCATCCGAATCCATAAGACAAATCAAGCGAGACCAATTTAGACAAGTGAGAGATTTTGAGAGGAATTTCACCAACAAACACTAACTAACTTAAGTTCAAATACATGAGAGTAGGAAGATCACCAAATTAAGGTGATATTAAAGACCCATGAAAATCATTATGAGCTAAGTTGAGTGTTTGAATAGATGATAGATGAGAAAGTTGGAAGAGGGTACTATTGGGATGGAATTTACCTAGAAGCCAACTATAGCTAAGGTCAAGGCCAATCACATGACCTGACATGAGTCACATGTGATCCCATCCCATAAGTAGCAATTTGGATCATTTCCCCAATATGCTTTTGTTGGGTAAGACAATTGATGGAATTGATGATCACATTCCAATGAAGCATCACGATCAAGAGAGCAAGAGCTATTGAATTGGAGAAGGGTAGAATAGTCATGAGAATTACAAAATGGTGGGGCAAAAGAAGAAGAAAGGGAAGAAGGAAAAAGAAAGAAGAAAAAGAAACAAAAGAGAATTGGAAATTTCATAGTGAAAGTGGTTGGGCAACGAGTGAAGGATGGATATATGGTATTGAACAAATGAAGCTTCAATATTTATAGGTTGAGCTAAGGCAAATCATCATCATCATCTTCTTTTTTCATTATTGCATTAATGATTAAAATTTGAAGGAAACCAAAATATATAAGATTTAAAAAAAACCAGAATTATTGTCGTCATAACAAACGATATCTCTTCAAATAGGGACCATTGATTAATAACATATTAGTTATAAAAATTACTCATAATGTACTGTTCATTTTTGTTTTCAAGGTATCTCCAGAGCTAACAGTCATGAAATTAATTTTTCAAAATATTTGAGCGTCATTCAAGGACTTGTCATCTCCCAAGCGATTCTCTCCATACATGCTTCTAGAAATTGATAGCTTTCAAATATTTGAAAGTTTAGTGTTACAAAATATTATGATTTTTAATAATTTTCAGCTAAAACAAAGAAATCACCCCCTAAAACGTTACATAATTATTCATTGAGGTTGGCGTAAAGTGGTAATGACTCTCATCATTTATACAAATAGTTGAGGGTTCAAATTCTATATAATAATTTTGTTGGAATAAGTTTACTCCTTGTAACCTTGGGGACTAGATACATCCCTCTTCATACGTTGATGTGTGTGTTGACTAGCTAGTCTTACTCTCAAGTGACTACTAAAATTGAATGAATTATTTTCGAAGCTTATCTTGGACCTAAAAATAGAGGAGGACTTGACAAATTTTCTAAATTTAGATTCACCGATTCATTCATTCATTCATCTTGTCTTGTGAATTTGAAAAAAAAAAAATACAAGAGTATTTTGTTTAGATGTTCCTTAGCCTTCAAATCTTTTTGGAAAATTTTTCATAAAAATGATCATCAAATATAGAGCAAAATACATTGTCCTCCTTCTATTTTTAAAATTCATTATGAACTTCTCCTAGAATCAATAGTTACAAAGCAGTTGTATCACTTCTCCTTTTGTGTTTTTATTTTCATTCATACAACTATTAGTTGATTGTTAAATCACATGTGTTGGATCAAAATCAAATTATATTAGACAACTTCTTCATTTTTAGAAACTGACATCAGACTGTCTACATTTTTGAGTTTAATGATGCTGATAATTTCCATATCATTAATCAATCTATTATTTTATTAATGAAATTTAACTTGATCTTTTACACAAATACTAACTTGTAAAAACTTCAAGTCATCAGTCAAATAGATGGAGTATATTAGGGAAATAATCAATCAATTGATAATAAAAAAAAATCAAATGTATGAATTTAAACGTCTGAAGAATTTATTATCAAGTTATAAAAATAAAAAATTCCTGAAATTGATGAAAGAAAAATTACTAAAAATTGATTAATAATCATGTAATTGATTTATTTGACATGTAGTTATATAGTTTTTTTTATGAAAGAAAATTTACTAAAAAAGGAAATCTCAGGTGTTCAGGGTTGAGATAATTTAGGGTGATATTTAATATTTTACTTTATTTACTCTTTATATATATATAGTTACGCGAAAATTCTCATGCCCGAAGATATTATAGAGGTTCAATTTCAAACTCATGAAAATTCTGAAAGCCTCTCACATTCAAATCTAGAATGATTTTTATATACACAAATCAAAATGCAAACATAATTTTATTAACAACAGTGCAAAAAAAGTACAACCCAAGTGCATGCCAAGAGACCACGTAGGCAATTGGCAGAGACCTGTGTCAATTACTGACGCTCAAAAGTTCGACACACAAAGTACTCATAATACACAAACATATATAACTTAAGCATAACGAGCAACATAAAAACACAATCACGTAAACCTCAAATCGATGGGTCCAAAGTCTATTATTCGAACAACTTTTCAGCGAGAGCAGCAAACAATGGAGTTGGATTTCCTAATAAAACAGATATTATGGCGCTGAATCCTATTTTCACCAATTTGTTCAACGCGCGAGTGACAGGTTTAGACGAGCTTCTTCTTCTTCTATCCATGGCCAACGAGCTTCTAGCTGATGCAGTTTTTCTTGTGATGACCGAGCTTGAAGAAGAGGAAGAAGAAGAAGCACCATCAACATTGAAACAAACCTTTTTCCAGTCCTCCGGAATCACAGTCTTCATACAATAAACATGGCAGAAATAATTTCCACGAGACGACAAATAGGACCACCCTCTGAAACGTCCCTTCTTTATCTTAACGTCATTTAGATCCTTCCTCTTGCATCTGACACTTAGAGGGCACTTTGCATCTAAGATTCAGCATCATTTCATCGCCATCATCAGAGATGGTTATGTCTGTTAGGTTCATGCAACAAGGATGCAAATCAAAGTCGTTTTCGGATTGGTCACGATACAGAAATCCTCGGATGTCCTGCCCGCAAGCATCGCAACATCGTTCTTCCGTCCCCGGCGGTTCCCAGAGGAATTCGAACAGGCTCTCCTTCATGAACGGGTGGAATCTTGGGCCGTCGCGGGGGCGAGCCCTGGCACAGTGGTCGTGAAGGACGAAGAGACAACCAGTTTCGTGGCACTGGTACCTTGGGCCATACCCTTCTTCCACGCAGCCACTGCATTTGAATGGATCTCCTTCGCTTTTGAATATTATTGGATGCTGAGGATGACGTGGGTGATTCATCTTCTCTTCAAAATCACTTCCCATTCTATGCCAACGCTCTTCTCCTCTAAACTTTCTTCTTCAGCTTCTTGACGAGCTTTTTATGTGTATATATAGTGTTTTTCCTGTTCAACTTCCTTGAGAGCTATACGTAAGTTAAGATTTATGAATTTCTATGAAATTTTCATAAGAACTTCATCAAATTTACCAAATCTTAACTTGAAAGAATTTAAATTCCATATAAATATATATATATATATATATATTTCTTCAGCTAAGAGAAAATGACAATTATGTCCTTAATAATGTTTTTGGAAGACTTGCAGAAAAAGGAGGAAGACATGTTGTGCTTGTTAACAGTTTTTGTTTTTAAATATTAAATGTTTTTGGAGATAGACAATATCTGCGACCGATTTTTATTTTGTCTAGTTTGTGGTATATATTTTTAGTTTATTTCGAACTTTGAAGTTTCCAATACACGGAATAAAAGTGGAAAGAAATATATGGAATTATAATTTATAATAAATAACAAGCTTTCAATATCGAATACTTTTTCCACAAGCGTGCCAAATGGGAAAGACTTGTCTTTTTATGTGAGATGGAAATGAAAGTGAATCAAAGAACACTCACAGCCAAATAAAAGTCTCAACAAATGAAATATTGAATCATCTTATTGGGTTATTTGAGTTGATTTTGAAGGGGCAATATCTTCACTTCAATATGTGAGGCCACACGTTAGTTAAACTGGTCGAAAGAGTTAAATAAATTATTTTATAAAGTTTTGATTTTGAATCGTAAAATATATAGTCATCTTAAAATAATATGTTAAATACATTCTCGAAATATCCATAAAACTATCATTGATAATATAGGTCCTATACAATACGGGATTTAGATTAGGTTAGGTTAGAGGTGATAATACTTCTACTTTTCCAAGATACTAGGCATTGAAATTAAAAAAAAAAATGTTAGGCCATACCATGTTAAGAGACCACGAAGGCTTGAAGACAACCCATAGTTTTATTGAAAATAAATTTTTGTAAAGCTCAATAATTCTATCTAAAAATTTAAACAGTTTTTAACTTTATCTTTATTAATTATATATTTTTAAATAATATATTTTTTTCTATCAAAATTCATATAATTAATTAATAATTAATGTGTGCCCGCGGGGCTTGGCTCATAATATATATATATATATTTATTTATTTATTTTAATTTTTTTCCTTTTCCAAAACTTATTTGGCTCATTAATTTTATATATATATATATATATATAAAAGATCTCTCTTTATACGTTGGGCATAGCGCGGAGGACAAGCAAAATAATATGTGGGTGCTTTTCTGATAATAAAAACAATTCAAGTGAGTTGGATTCCAAGAGCTTATCAAGGTTAAAGTATGTTTTTAAATTCAAAGAATACTTACAAAAATACTTATAAGATTGTCATTCAATAAAGTCCTCATGTCAATAGTAGTATTTGATCCCATGACTTTGAAGGTTATGAGCTAAATCCTTACATGCTAAATCAATCTTTGTTTACAAATATAATTATCTTTAATATCTTTTTGCATAATCTTTTAAGAATTTAGATTTTTCAAGAAGTCACCCCTCAAATGCAAGAGAATTTTCAATTTACGCACATTTTTCACAACAATAATCATTAAATTTATGATGATGCAGTAATAATTGTTATAATATGTCTGTGTGTAATTTTCAATTTATGCGCATTTTTCGCAACAATAATCATTAAATTTATGATAATGCAGTAATAATTGTTATAATATATAATGTGCGTGTGTGTGTGAAAATTTCTTGTATATCAAAGTAGCAAATTTATAAATGTTCTTATACTTTTATACCTTGTCAACAATTTATTAGATGGATCAATCAACATGGTGCAAAGAAAGGTTTACAAAGTCATGGCATGCGGGAAGATTAACTTGTAAAAAAGTGATGTGTGTGTCGTCTAATCTCTTTTTCTCAAGTCTCAAGAAGTGACTTCCAAATGTTAATGTATTATTTTTCCGGGTTGTCTTGGACCAACAAAAAAAGAAAGAAAAGTTAGTTACCAACCACCCAAAAAATATAAAAAATAATTAAGAAGACATGTGCTTATTAACAAAAGCAATTTGTTTCTTGAAGACAGACAATATCCAAGATAGATTTCTATTTCGCGTAGTTTGTAGTAATTATTTTTGGTTTATTTCAATCTTTATATTTGACACTTGACATTAAAAAAAAACAGTGGAATAAGGATTATGTGGAAATTTAATAAATAAAATGTTGTCAATTTCAAATTTTGTTTACCGTAAGCGTACCAAATGGAAAAGAAGACTTGTAATGTGATGGAAATGAAAATAATAAATAAAAAAACTGTCACATCCAAATAAATTCTTAATAAATAAAATATTCAATATTTTATTGACTCATTTAAGTTGAGTTGACTTCTCAAGAGGTAATTTCTTCATTTTAGGCCACATCAAGTGAAGTGACCATGAATGCTTCAAGGCCCCGCCAACACGTTATATGTGTTTTGGCATGTGCATCAATATATATATATATATATATATATATATATCTATGCGCGTGCATGCGTTTGGGTTTATTAGTTATGCATTAAAAAAATAAAATTAATCTATTTAATTAAATAAGCTTAATTAAATGCCTGAATCTAGCCCAAATCTATTTAGTAAATAGTTAAACTACACTTGAAATAGGTTAAGACGTCATGAATCTGGCTTATTCTCACCCTTATTTTCCTATCACAAAGAATCAATGAAGCATTCTACGCACAAGCCAACATCTATTGACTAATAACCATGTTTAGCAGGCTTGTCTATTTGCTTGAATTTCAATGTAAGCTGCACTATTTTCACTGCTTGTAAAGTAACCTTAATTATGAACTAATTAATGAAGCATGAAAGCATGAATGAATTAAGAGGATGAAAAACACTATTTTGGAGGTCTTAAATGGGAATGAATGCAACCCACCATAATTATTTGAGAAAATATGTTTGAGAATTATAAATCTAGTGCTTTTTGAGAAATAACCCAATTGTTCTATTTTATTTTCTACAAGCTTCTTCTTTGGTAGAGTTATTGTATTTTCATTTTCTTTTTGCAGGACTATAGTGCTTATTTTAAATTCCTATTTACACCATTATTTTGAACAATCTTGTATTAATTAATCACAAAGTTTCAAAAGGAGAAAGTGATTTTTCACGTATAAATATTTATAAAAAACCTAAAATCTTTTAACAAAAAATTGTATTTTAAAATGGTTATAGTTATTCATGGTCCATTTTAATTCCCTTCTTTACCCCTCTTAAATTAACATGGATAAACATAATAGATATTAAGTTACAGAAATAAAGTTTATCTTCCGAGCCCCTGGAGATTATTTAAATAATTTTTTTGATAACAAGAGATTATTTAAATATTAAGTTACAAAAAACTTGTCTCGTATTGTGGTTTTACATTCTTATCCTACTTTGACAATTTGAATGCCTTCAGTTTAAGAATGAAACAGAGGGAATAAGGAGCGGTTTTGTAAAAGAATATCATATAATAAAATAATTCTTTTTATATTATTAAAAAAATGAGCTATTAAATATTTATTATATTTATATTATTAATTGAAATAATTATGTTTTTATTATTTTTATTCATATATAGACACATAATATATTGTTGTTTATAACAAAAAAAGTTTTAACCTTAATCGTAGAAATAATTATGCAAAATGTTGTAAGAAATTGTATAAACTCTGTATATTCAGTTATACAGTTATTTAAAATTGAAAATTTTTTTAGATATTGTAATAGCTTTGTTAAGGACTAATAAATAACATAACCATATAAATTATATAATTTTCCTTATAAAAATATTTAATTTAAATTATATAATATACTATTGTTGGATTGTTTTAAACTGTTTTTCTTTTTCTCTTGTTTTAGTAATAAGAATTTTTACTAAATATAGAAAGATTAAAATCAAAATCCTTCTAGGTTATAATAATAAAATTTTGCATGTAATTTTTTTTAGACATTATATGAATCGAACTTCAGAAAAAAATTTGACCAAAAAACTTTATATAAAAAATTGAAAACTCATTTGCTTTAAGAAGACAAATAAAATAAATAAAAATATATATATAAAAATGTGTGACAAATGGCATTGTCAAAATTTTAATATTCTATTTAATTATTATATCAACGATTAGACTGTGATTGAAAAATAACCCTCTTACGTTTCTGATTTGTTATCCAGTTTTGTTTTTAAAGCATTTGAAAAAAAATACAAATATTAAGAATTGGAATCAGCTGACTGATTCATTAATCTTGGATTAAAAAGTCAATAATTTGTTTAGATGTTCATAGCTTTCAAATATTTGAAACTTTAGTGTTACAAAATATTATGATTTTTAATACATTTCAGATAGAACATAGATATCACCCCTACAACGCAACAGAATTTTTAATTTAAAGGAATAATGATTAAATGATGATAGTAAAATATTATCTATTATCTTATTTTTGGTTACATAATTTTAAATTTGAAATCAAAGTAGAGAAAAGGACTTTTTGCAAATATAGCTCATATTGTAGGACAAAACCAAACATACAACCCAACATTTATTATTTTTTTCATTATGATGGTTTATTATATTTGTCAATTATAAATCCCTTGTAGATTTTTAAATTTTTAATAATAAATTCCATGTATATTAATAATAAATTTATTGCATGTCAGTATGAATCAGCCATACTTTTAAATTTTTAAAAATTTGGTCCATATCTTGTGGGTACAATTTCTTTTTTTCATCAGTAAGCCAATTTATCTCGGAAAAAATTGAATGAATTATGAAAGTATTATTATAGAAATTAGAAAAAGCGCGTGACTCAATGATGATATGAAGCTTTATAAAATATTTAAAATGTAAACAAATATAAATATATTTAAATAATTTTAATTATTATAAAAAATATCACATAGATGCATGAATAGTTAATTGTGACTCCTTGATTGATAATATTTGATA